TCGCCTCTCGTTCGCGGAAACGTGCTCGCTATAAAAACTTATAAAAACATCCACGAGTCTCTACGCTTATATTTCCTCGTTGATTTCTATGTAAACGTGAATTTTATTTGTAACGAACTAGAGTCTTATTTTCCCTGAAGTACAATTTAGAGGTTATGTTACAATATAAACTTCTTTTTTTAAAGTGTACGTATTTGTTAAACCATTTGTAAAGTGTACGTAAAACACACACACATACACCATATATATAATTTACATCAAATATACATTTATTGATCACTATATATATAATTTACATCAAATATACATTTATATATCATGCAAATTATAATACGAATGTATATTTTATGAATATACATTTTGATAAATATTATTAGATAAAAGGTATATATGATATTGAATATATCGGATAAAATATACAATGTACATATACAATGTTTTTGTGAACATGTCATTAAATATACATGTATTTTATGAATAATACATTTTTCCATACATATATTCACATATTACGTTTCGTGTGTTCTATTTCTGTAATAGAAACAAGTTACAAACATTTAGAGTGGCGCTGTTCCTGCCTGTATATCGAGAACTGAATTATCGATACAGATCGTATGTATCGATCATTCGTAGCGCGCTCTACGCACGCGCGTTCGCAAGCAGTCGAGCGGCCATGTTGGTTTGGAAATTTCAAATTGGTCAGTGACCGTTCGCGTCGTCGTCGCGCGAACCTTTTTAACACGATGTGCGTGGGTTTATTACGGCAAAATGTGAGTTTAGAAGCCGAGTGTGAAGCCTAGACGACATCGGGGACGATACGTGGCGTTGAAACATTCTCCGGGAATTAAACGTAAGTAAACGCTTCAGATTTATTTACCTTGTTTACTTTGCATTTTAATGGCGTCGGTGGAGGTTAGCACGTTAGAGGAGAACGTTGATACGTGACGAGTGACGCCGGTATAGTCAGTCACGTTGCAAAGTGCAAAGTTAATGGAAAACGCGAACGATTCTTCTCTCGGATGCGGGATATTTCCACGAAGTGGTCCGTGAATGCGCAAGGACGTGCACCGGACACGATGCACTCATCCGTGCGGGATCCGCATACGAGTTGTTTATTGTTGAGAGCCGGCTAACGCGAGTTCCTGCATAAACCGATTGTCCAAATGATTCTAAATTGCCCCCGAGGCTTCGTTACAGGAATTGCTGCATTAGCTTTAACGAATATCGCCGATGTTCGAGATGTTTTCAGCACGTACCGACACACTGATATGATTCGTGTCGACGTACGATTTTTCCAACATGGCCGCCACGGATGACGTCACGAAATTTAACGACCAGTAATAACACACTCACGGGACATTGTGCAATTTTTTTGAAATTACTTTGAAACTTCCGGCATACCGTGTGAAAAATTATTTCTTCACAGAAAGTTCT